AGAAATAAAATCAAGAATCAATAAATGGATGGATTCAAACTAAAAAGCTTCTTCTCAGCAAAATAAACAACCTGGGCTGGGGATATAGCTCAGTTGATAGAGTGTTTGCTTTGCATGCAAAAGGCCCTGGGTTCAATCACCAGCACCACCAAAAAAATAAAATAAGATAAACAACCAGTGAGGTGAATAGAAAGCCTACAGAATGAGAGCAAATTTTTACCACATGCACAGAGCACTAATCTCTAGGATATATACAGAACTCAAAAATCTTAATACCAAAAACACAAATAACCCAATAAATAAATGGGCCAAGGAACTGAACAGACACTTCTCAGAAGATGATATACAATCAATCAACAAGCATATGAAAAAATGTTCAACATCTCTAGCAATTAGAGAAATGCAAATCAAAACTACTCTAAGGGGCTGGCTCAGCAGTAGAGCGCTCGCCTCGCACATGCAAGGCCCTGGGTTCGATCCTCAGCACCACATAAAAATAAATAAATAAATAAACAAACAAACAAATAAATAAATAAATAAATGTAGTGTGTCCAACTACAATTACAAAAAATAAATATTAAAAAAACCTACTCTAAAATTTCATCTCACTCCAATTTCAGAATGGCAGCTATCAAGAATACAAATGACAATTAAGTGTTGGCGAGGATGTGGGGGAAAGGCACACATTACTGGTGGGACTGCAAATTGGTGCAGCCAATCTAGAAATGGAGATTCCTTGGAAAACTTGGAATGGAACCACCATTTGACCCAGCTATCTCATTCCTCAGTCTATACCCAAAGGACTTAAAATCAGCATACTACAATGACGCAGCTACAGCAATGTTTATAGCAGCAAAATTCACAATAGCTAAATTGTGGAGCCAACCTAGATGCCCTTTGGGATGAATGGATAAAGAAAATGTGGTATATGTACTCAATGGAATACTACTCCGCATTAAAAGATAATAAAATCATGGCATTTACAGGTAAATGGATGGAGTTGGAGAATATGCTTAGTGAAGTAAGCCAATCCCCCCAAAAAAACAAATGCCAAATGTTTTCTCTGATATGTAGATGCTGATCCATAATGGGGATGGTGGAGGGAGCATGGAAGAAACAGAGGAACTTTGGATAGGGCAAAGGGGAGTGAGGGAAAGAGAGGGGGCATGGGGGTGAGAAAGATGGTGGAATGAGATGGACATCATTATCCTAAGTACACGTATGAAGACATGAATGGTATGACTTTACTTTGTGTACAACCAGAGACATGAAAAATTATGCTCTATATGTGTACTACGAATTGAAATGTATTCTGCTGTCACATATAACAAATTAGAATGAATAATTTTTTAAAACACCACCAAAGAACTAGACTCCTCTTTTTTATTTTATAGTGACCAGCTTAACAAACATATATGAAGCGATGAAGAGATATTTTGTGGGTTTGATATGCATTTCCCTGATGATTAGTGATGTTGAATATGTTTATTGGCCATCTTCTTTACAGAAATGTTCATTCAAGCCCTTTGCTTTTTTTAGGGGTGGGGGTTCTGGGGATAGAACCCAGGGCCTAGCACATGCTCGTCAAGCGCTCTACCACTGACTTGCACCCCTAGCTCATGCCCATTTTTCAATTCAGCTGTTTTTGTTGTTGAGTTTTATAGTCTGACTGTATGCATATCCCCAAATTCATATCAGAGCCTTCATGAGCCTTATAAATGAGGCCAAGAGAACTAGCTAGCTCTTTCAACCACAGAAGGACACAATGGAAACATGCCTTCTGTTAAAAAAAAAAAAAAAAAGGCCATTGAAAGACATCAAATCTGCCTGCACCTTGAGCTTTGGGTTTCTCAGTTTCCAGAACTCTGAGAAATAAATTTCTTTGTTTATAAGCTACTCAGTCTGATGCRTTTTGTTCCAGCAGCCCAAACAGACTAAGACAAACTCCTTATCAGATATGTGGTTTGCAAATATTTTCTCCCATTTAATAGGCTACCTTTTCTTTCTGTTGACTGTTGCCTTTGCTGTGCAGAAGGTTTAAGTTCGATGTAGTCTTGTCTAATTTTGCTTTTGTTTCTTTGGGCTTTTGTTGTTGTACCCAAGAAATCATTGCCAAATTCAGAGTTGTAATGCTCCAAAGCATATTCTCTTAAACATGCTTTTCAAACTATGGGTTATAAACCAATTTGTAGATCATGAAATTAATTTAGTGAATTACAATTGGTATGTTTTAAAAGAATAGAATACAACAGAATAGAAAATATTTAATGTGTTACACCATATGTAGTATGGCTAAACATTGTTTTGGAAAGTTTTTTTTCCCCCAGTGTGTGTATATGTGATGGGTTGTAAAATAAAATAGATTTCTTACTGTGGGTTATGGTTTAAAATTTTGAAAAATATTGAACTACTTTCTACAGCACTTGGACCAAACAAAGTCCCAACACTGCTATCTGTCTATATTCTAGTAGTCACAGTCAAGCCATTACATGGCCCTCAGTGGTACTCAGTGTAATAAATACAAAGGGACCTGTACTAGAGTGGCAGGGACCACATCATGTGTCAACTTTGTTTCTGCAAAAATAGAAAAGCAATTGCTACATTAAATTAATATTTTTTAAAAGAGAGAGAGAGAGAGAATTTTTTAATATTTAATTTTCAGTTTTTGGTGGACACAACATCTTTATTTTATTTTATGTGGTGCTCAGGATCGAACCCAGCGCCCCGCGCATGCCAGGGGAGCACGTTACCGCTTGAGCCATATCCCCAGCCCTTAAATTCATATTTTTATTTGAATTATATTGATGCTATTATTTCAGCTTCCTTCTGTTATTGCAAAAGATCTGTAAGTGCACTCATCCTTTCTAATCCTAGAAGAATTGGTTCTAGGACCCCCTATGGATACAAAAAATCCACATATCCTTAAGTCTCTTACATAAAATGAAATAGTTGGGCACAGTAGCACATGCCTGTAGCCCCAGCTACTCAGAAGACTGAGGAAGGAGGATTGCAAGTTTGAGACGAGCCTGGAAAACTTAGTGAGAACTTTTCTCAAAGTAAAATAAAAAGGGCTGGGGATGTAGCCCAATGGTAAAGTGCCCTTGAGTTTAATCCCCAGTACTGCAAATAAATATATAAACAGAGTCAGGATGTAGCTCAGTAGTAGAGTGCCCCTGGGTTCAATYCCAGAATAGCAATAAATAAATAGAAGTTGAATTTGTATATAACTTACATGCATCCTCCCATATACTTTAAATCATCTCGAGATTACTTATAATACCTAATACAATGGAAATGCTACATAAATAATTATTACACTGTACTGTTTAAGAAATAATGACAAGGAGCTAAGGTTGTGGCTCAGCCCCTGGGTTCAAACCTCAGCACCACATAAAAATAAATAAATAAAATAAAGGTATCATGTCCGACAACAAATAAAAAATAAATATTAAAAAAAGAAATAATGACAAGAAAAAATCTGCATGTTGAGTACAGATGCAATTAAATTTTTTTCTTTTGATTTGCAGTTGGTTCAATCTATGGAAGCAAAACATGTGAATACAGAAAGATRATTGTATAAAAATTTTATTCATAGTTTTTTGCTTGCCTATGTTTATAAAAATAACTTTTTTTGGATGGATCAAGCTGACCCTGAACTCCTAAGCCCAATCAATCCTCTTGCCTTAACCTCCTGAGTAGCTAGGACTATAGGTGCATGCCATGCCTCATGTGTAAAAATAATTTAAGACTACAATGGGGTATAAGAGTATTTATTTTTTTCAAAAGGTCCATGTAGCCAGGTATGGTGGTAAATGTCCGTAATCCCAGTGACTTGGAAGTTTGAGGCAGGATTGCAAGTTTGAGGCCAGCTTGAGCCATTCAGTGAGACCCTGTCCTAAAAACTAAAAGGACCAGAGATGTAGCTCATCAGCACCACACACACACAAGTGTCCATACATTGATGGAATTTGAGAAACACTGTTTAGGTGGTATACTAAATTGAAAAGTGTCCACCAAACTTCATTTCACCTAGAACCTCAGAATGTGATCTTATTTGAAAATAGAATTGTTACAGATATAGTTAAGTTAAAATGAGGTCATACTGGATTTAGGGGAGCCCTAAATCCAGTGACTGGTGTCCTTAAAGAAGATCAAGTAGAGCCAGGTATGGTGAGGCATCCCTATAACCCCAGAGACTAAGGAGGCTGAGGCAGGAGAATTCCAAGTTTGAGACCAGCCTCAGCAACTWGGCGAGACCCTGTTTCTAAAAACTAGAAAGGGCTGGGGATGTAGTTCAGTTGTAAAGCATGCCTGGGTTCAATTCCCAGTCCAAAAGAAAAAAAAATAAAGAAGGCCATGTTTAGATATATAGGAAAAAGACATGTGACAACAGCAGAGAGTTATACTACCACAAACCAACAATTTCCAGCAAGTAGCTAGGACTATAGGTGCATGCCACACCTCATGTGTAAAAATAATTTAAGCCTACAATGGGAGTATAAGAGTATTTATTTTTTTCAAAAGGTCCATGTATGATGGTGAATGTCCATAATCCCAGTGACTTGGAAGTTTGAGGCAATTTAGTATACCAACAGAATCTAACAAAGAAGCAACCTCTCTCTCTTGAGCCTTCAGATGAARCCTATCCTTCAGACACCTTGGTTTCTGCAGGAATAGAGAGAGGTTTTTCTTCTATGAGAAGAAATCATGCAGTTTTAAGCCACCAGGTTTGTAGCAATTTGCCATGGCACCCAAGAAAACTAGTACAGGTGGTAACCTGCTAAGAACAGGAGTACACAGAATGACCCTCCTTAAAAGCCATCCCAGGCCCATCCTCCCAGCAAATGTGCCATGCCACAATATGGTCTTCATAAGTTGGGAAAACTGAGGCCCAGAGAGAGCCAATGGCTTACTCAAAGGGCCATAACATGTCAGGGGAAAGAAAGGACCAGAAAGCAAAACTTTAAGAGTTTCCTCCTAGAACTTGGCCCTCTACTTACCATGGTACTAGAAAATATGTTCGCTTCATTGACTGACTTGGCCATCTTGATTCTGGAATTGGTTTCACAGCACTGTAACCCAGAGGAACTGAGTCTTAACCGCCTCATGTCAGGTACAGATCTGCAGTGTCTTGCAGAGATAGGCTTGTAGGGAGCAGAATCAGTCTTCTTCTTTGCAGCCTCCTGGTCAAGGCTACGGCCTGTTTCATTCTTCTTTACATCTTTGACACTTAAGAGCAACTCAGGTGTGCAGGACACTAATGCCAATGGCCGGAAGTACTGGGAAGGAGGAAACCAACACACAGCCAGTGGGAACTCAGCTCTGGCCACTTCCAGATTCGTCTGCACCCAAGGGTAGGTGCAAAGGAGATAAGGAGAAGGAAAAGCAGTTGGTATCGAAGTCTCTCTAATATGAGGATCTTAGACCTGGGGTTCTGGGAGGGCCCATGGATGACTTTAGGGTATCTTTGAGCCACTTGAAACCAGTTTTAAAATAGTTCATTGTATATTTTACCACAAGAGATTCCAGAGCTTTTATCAGATTCTCAACAGGTCTGGAACCTTAAAAGTTAAAAAAAAAAAAAAAAAAAAACTCTGCTCTAATTCTGTCCTTCCAAGTAAGTCTTTAAGATGAAGCAGATGGGCTGACAGTCAACTGAGGTGGACTGAAAAGTCATCTATCCAGTGAGCTAGAAGAAAGCACTAGGCAGAGAAAGCAGAAGCTAGAAACTTAGATCACAGGACAAGAGGGCAGCTACCCACAGCCTGGAGGTTGGGCCACCCCATGCAGACAGCAGGAAGGACCCCGCCATGACCAGTCATCCCTGTTAATGTTCTGAGGATTCTGCCTTCCAGAAGCTCTCCCAGTGGCCCACTGAATTAGGGCATTCCCACCCCAGCTGGAGTTGAGGATGTGGGTCCTGGAACCTGCTCTCCATATGATATCATGCCCAGTCTCCCAGCACAGCCTGCCTGCTCTTACTTCTAATGAGACAAAAAGGACAGATGAGTGAGAACCCTCTGCTGCCTGAATGAAGTGATGCTCTGATGGACACTCAGCTCTCTGTGGCTGCCACAGTTCCCTTCCTGTGGCCCAGCCCTCCAAGTAGCCTGTCAGTATGTCTGGGCTCGGAGGAGTGGTCTCCGTGGCAACCCCCGACAGACTGGCCCCAGCCTGGGAAGGGTGCCAGGTATGCACATTCCCCTCCCATCTGGGTTTACTTGTTTGGGGCTGTGGGCGGTGGTCTTGCGTTTCTGTTGTTTTTTCTGCTGGTTCTTGGCGCTCTTGCCCCTTGCTTTCTCGCCGGCTATCTCTGACTCTCCCTGCATCTCCACCTTCTTCTCTTTCATTTGGAAGGATTGCTTCTCCTGTTTCAGTCTCAGCTCCTGGATCAGTTGCCTGCCCATTGAGGAACAAATGATTGTCACAGAGGTTAGGGACAGGTGGTGAAGGTGGGCATCCTCCTTGGGCGATAGACAAGTTAAAATGGAGAGGCAGAGTGCCCCCACTTCCCTCCYCCAGTGTATCCAGTCTGCACAAGTGATTGAAGGTCAGAAATCAAGGTGGTAAGAAAGAAGTCATCCCTTTAATTATCCAGTGTGGGGAATGGCATCATTTCAAATAGAAATGTGCAGTAAAAAGAGCTATGTTTCTTTCCACCGCAACCCCATCTCTTCCCTACTTCCCAATAGACCATCTGCATGCATGGCAGGTGCTGGGAAGAGGATCTGGGTGGGAGACTACAGCCAGGGGCTCCCATTTGGGACCATTTCATGTGATGAGCTCTTTGGCCAATGGATCAGGAAGAGTGCTCTAAAGGTGACACAATATAGTGGAAATAATATGGTCTCGTGAGTCATTCGACTGGGAGTTCTAATCCTTCTCCTGATATTATCTTGTTATATGATCTCCTCTCTGATCCAATTTCCCCTTCCATAAGAGATAGTTGGTGGGAACTAGACTCAATGGGACAATTCCCTTCCAGCCCTTAGATTTTATACCTGCATGAATCGATGAAGCAGCTCTGAGGAGGTGTTCATCCTGGAATGGGGTGGGGGTGTCTGTCTCTATGGTCAGTTTMTCTATGGTCAGTCACCTATCTACTTATCTACTTAATACCTCACATTAGGAAATCTTCCAATTTATGGCCCTTGTGAGATCACAGCAAATGTTCCCCAAGCAACTTCAAGGTTGGGAATTGAAGCTCAGGGACTTTCCCTGCCACCCCAGGACAGCTGCCCAGCAGGTCAAGCACAATCCCCAGAACACACCGCCCACCTCATCCTGGGAGCCTTCCTACCGGGCATACAACTCCCGAGCCCTGGAAGCAGCAGTATCCTGGAAGAGGGAGCAATTGTGCTGGAAAAACTTGTCGTACTTCTCCAAATTCAGAGTGGGATAAATCAGCCGGAACCCGCCACAATTTTCCTTCTCATATTTCTCTGTTTTCTGTAACCGCACTGCTTGGAAACCCTTGGCTTCCTCAATCCTATTGGGATGCAGAACACAGGGATACAGTTTTTTTGGAAGGGACATATCCAAGCTGGATGTCATCTAGGGCCAGAGGGAGGCCTTGCACATAATAGTGGTTAATCAGTATTTGTTAAATAAAAGCAAAAATGTTTCCTGGAAAGGAGAKTCTAGCCCTCCTGGGACAACCAGTGTCACAATGCACTAAGAGCTGGTTGGAAGAGCCTTTCTGACAGCTCACCAAATTCTCTCCCCTTACGAGTAAAACCCATTTCCCCCTTGGCTTAGTCTGACCAGGCAGACTGTCGCCACCTTCCCATTCATTACCCTTATTACTCTTCTCTGGAGAATGGCAGCTTGTGTTTTGCTAAATTTGAGGGCTTCTTGGATGAGCTTAATGAGCTTTATGAGCTGTAATGATCTCATTCTTCCTCATAGCCCCTTGGGGAAATGGAGGTCAGGTAGGGAGGCATGATAAGCCCCCTCTACAGAAGGGGAACCAAGAGACACTGAGAGATCCAGGACAAAGTAATGAAGGGAGACAGATGCAGAGGAGACCCTCGGTGTGATGGGTGTGATGGAGTGATGTGGTCTCCTCCTCAAAGAGTTGAGACAGCAGTACAGTGGAAAGGTATCCTGGCACCCAAGCTGGAACACCCACTGGGCTCTGGGTCCAGAGCYGTCACCAGTAAGGTGATCTCATGAAAGTCAGTTCCCCTTCTGGAGTCTTGGTTTCCTCTGCTTCAAGAACAGCACCACACCACACTCCTTCTACCTCCCTCCCTGCAGGGGAGACARTACACATGAAAGTGCCAGAGAAACACAGTGCCATCTGGACACCAGTACAACACATTGCCCCTGTTCCAGAAGCTCGGTCCCAAAGGATTCGATTGGCTCTTTTTCTGGAAAGGAAAATAGGCAGAGGTGGGGGAGGGTCCTTAGTGGGATCTGAAAAGCAACCAGGGCACCTCCTTGACCAGGCCCAGAATCTTAAGATACTAGAACCACTATGCAGAATGAAGGCCCCAGTGACAATGCAAATGACGCCCTTCAGACATTAGCTCCTGCCAACATAGTAACATGGGAAAGGACTGACAAGCTTTTCATTTTAGTAAAAATAAAATATTGATTTTATTTTTTTATATTGGTAATTCCTAAATCTTCACATATTAATCAATTCATATCCGTTATATATAGTTACATGTGTATAACTTAATCTCCTATTTCTAAGAACAAAAATTATCCATAATCCAACTGTTTGAATTACTACATTCTGCAACTAAAAACTCACATTCCAGCCAGGCATGGTGGTGCACACCTGTAATTCCAACAGCACAGAAGGCTGAGGCAGAAAGATCACAAGTTCAAAGCCAGCCTCAGCATTTTAGCAAGGCCCTAAGTAACTTAGTGAGATTCTGTCTCAAAAAAAAAAAAATGTGAAAAAGTGCTGGGGATGTGACTCAGTGGTTAAGTACCCCTGGGTTCAAACCCTGGTACCAAAAATATATATATATATATATCACTTTCTAAATAGGATCATAGTTTGCTAGAAATAATCCACCCCTTTCCCTACCAACTCCAGGCAAGATTCTTCTCTTTTTAAATTTTTCTTTTCTGTCTTTTTTCTTTTTTACTTGCAACCATTGATCCTCACTCCACCTCACAGGCAAAATTTTTGATAGCCTCTAAAAAGTTATGGTGCTGGGCACTATACTAAGACTCTATATGAATGATCTTATTTAATTCTCCTAACAGGCTGAGTGTGGTRGTGCCCACCTGTAATCCCAGTTAGTGAGGAAGCTGAGGCAGGAGGATTGCAAGTTTGAGGCCAACCTGAGAAAGTGAGACTCTGTCTCAAAATAAAAAGGGCTGGGGATGTGGCTCAATGGTAGAGTACCCCTGGGTTAAATTCCTAGTACTGGAAAAAAGTAATTATGTGTCACTAGCTCCATTTCACAGAAAGATCACTGAGGCTCACAGAAGTGATGAAAGGCCACATAACTAGCAGGATGTTGAGTCGTAACTTTGACCAAGACAACTAGTCTCCCTGAGAGCAGGGAAGTGAGAGAATGAGGGCCCTGGGGCCAGAGGGTGCTGCTGTACCTGACCTCCCGGGAGGGACACTGCTGCAGGAACTGTCCCCGCTTTCTCTCCTCCTCCAAGACTTTCTTTTTGTCACAACTTTCCAGGTTGATCAGTACCAGGGTRTCATACAGCAGACTGTCTTTCACATCTTTATCCAACCGGGAGTCAGTAGAGAAGCTTGGAGAGTGGTTGACCTGTGAGGGCAAGATGACAGCTGGGGACAGGACCGTCCAGGGTAAAAGTGAGGGGGTAAAGCAGATGCTACCTCCAGATGCTGCCAACATCCACCTCAGGGCCCCGGCTGCCCAGACCACCCAGAGGTGACAAACAGTCTGTCCCTGAGACACAGTAAAGAAAGCAGAAAGCAGAACTCCCTCTAGGCTAGTCTGTTTCATCTTGGTCCTCTCTCCTCTGGAAGCGTGAGGTGTGCCCCTCTTTGGTTTCCCCCCATCTGGTGTGTGTTCTCTTACATGCAGCKTGTGTGTTACACAGAGCAGAACAGAGGAGGGGTCTGAAGGATTGGCTTGGAGGTAGGAAAAAGAAAGGAGGGACACTTTCTGGAGCCTCATCAGGCTGAGGGGGAGAACAGGTGGGAGGAGAAGGAGAACTTATTCCTGCCCACAGCAAAGTCCATCCTGTTCAGAAGCGCTGGGTGACATGGGTAAATTTCCAGCAGTTTTTGAAGGCTTGCTCATGCTGGCTCATTCTGTTCGTGGGGTAAGAGCTCTAAGTGGCCATCTCTCTATTTCCCTCACATCTGAGAACAAAGGTGAAGGAAGGCAAATCCCCAGGAATCCAATCTGCAGTTCTGAATTCTCCACGCTAAAGTGTGACTCTGGCATCAGTACCTGGCACTAGCACCTCGGATGTCACCTCACGAATACACTTTGCTCCTCATCATTCATGCRGAATGGACACTTGAGAAGGTTCCCGAGCATCACTCCAACCAGGAAGAGAGATAGCAACTTGGAAAGATTCTCTTCCTCCTCCTACCRGCCCCCATGGAGGCAGGAAACTCACTGAGTGTCTCTGCCACCCGTTCCTAGGGCAGCAGACACCAGTTTGCTCTGTTGGTGCTTAGATCTGAGTCATGCAGATCTGCCAGAAGCCAAAGGGAGTCAGCTCCCATCTGATACTTAGCCTCACCCACCCAGCTTTGATGAAGAACACTGCCTTTCTGGAAGAGAACTCTGTTACAAAAGGTAGAATTATCTTTAGAGTCACTCTGTGTCTGAGATTAACAGCAAGTCTGTTTGCAAGTCTGGCTGGACCTCAAGAAGACACAAGGAATTCTCTAATTCCCAGCCGTCTACCCCCCTCTGGTGGCCACTTTTCAGCTAAGAGGGAAGCCCCACAGGCAGCAAGCACCGTGAGAGGAAGTGGCAGGGGAAGTTGATTAGAACAATCCAGGTGAGCCAGGAGGGCAGGGTCCCTGCAACTGGCTGACTCTAGTAACAGGGCACAGTTCTCACCCCTCGCCTGAACTTCCCTACCTCCAGCAGCCAGGGTTTGAGTTTGTGGTCCAACAAGATGTCAAAGCCCAGGATTTCAAAGCAGGCACTGTTAAGTGTGTGGCCGGGGAAGCAGGTGTGGTAGTTATGTTTGATGACTGGGTAAGCCGAGATGATTGTCTTGATGATGACATCCTCGATAGCCCTCCATATCTGTCCCACGTTGAAGCCGTGGTTCTCCATGTACGTGTTGAAGGTAGAGAGCTTCCTGGAAGGGAACCACAGGCCACCGGGCAGGGCAGCTGGCCTCTGACCATTCAAGGCCATGGCATGCTGAAAACCAGAAACTTCTAGAGAAGATAAAGCTCTAGAGCTGGTGTGGATGAATACCCAGGACCTAGCATGACCACAAGGCTGGGTCAGCTAGGGAGGGAGCCTAGAAGACACCTGTGAGCTGGGGAAGGGATGGGATATCTGGGTGGAAAGATTAATGGATGGCAACCAGGTGTCATGGCACATGCCTATAATACCAGCACCTCCAGAGGTGCTGAGGCCAGTGTGAGGCCAGCCTCAGCAACTTAGCAAGGCTCTAAGCCACTTAATGAGACCCTATCTCAAAATAAAAAGTTAAAATGGCTAGTGATGTGGATCAGTGGTTAATGGCCCCTGGGTTCAATCTCCAGTATGGGAGGAAAATGGTTAATGGATGAGAAAAGAAGAAGGAAAAAAAAAAAAAAAAAAACACCCTACATCATGGTTGTGCTTGCGTAGCAATGGTTTCTCTACCTCTGGTGTTATCTACTTGGGGAGTCTTTTAAGAATACTGGTACCTTGGTTCTACCTCAATCATCCGAGGGGACAATGAAAACACAGAAATCTTGTTTCAGGGTTGTCCACAGGGAAGACAATCCCAGAACATTTCCACAGACAAGGTTCCAGTAGTCTCAGGCAAACTGAACTGTTCCTACTTTTGAACAGAGAGCCCCGCATTCCAGGAAACCTCAGTCAGAGGCAGATCAGTATGGCTGTTGAGCCAATTGCTGAGGAAATCAAGAATCTCTTTACCAGAGACGTCCATGAGGAAATATCTGAGTGGACGGATGCTCCATTAACTCTAAGCTGGGMAGCACAGAGAAAGGATGAATCTAAGAGACCGTAGAGGCAGTGGTGGGGGTGGACACTCACTCAACCTCTCATACATATGTACCTGCATGTCCCCCAGAGAGTCAAAGTGGAAGTGGAAATACAGAAGGAGAAGATGTAAGAGAATGGTGATCTGAGAAGAGAACAACRAAGACAAGAGACAAGGCTCCCAGACAGTTCAAAAAGCTCGCTGGAGCCCAACTAAAGTGGTCAGAAAAGGAGGAAGCAGGTCTACCAGCCAAGGAGCACCTGCTAAGGGCCTGCTGTGCATGCAAAGCTTGGTGAAATGAAGAGACACAGAGGAACCACCACCWCTGCCATGGGAGGCCTGGGCACCATTTGGGAAATCAACACACATACGAAACAACTAAGGATGCATTTATATAAAGACAGAAAAGGAAAGGTCACTCAACACAGAGACCACCTCCTCTACCTGCCATTGTCAGGGTGCACATAAGTGGATTTTCCAGATCATTGAAGTCAATCATTTCAAGTGGAAAAAGAAAAAGTGTGTTTAATTTGCCTAAATGGGATGTAAATTTTCCTGAAATAGATCATGTACTTCCCTGACTTCTTATAACAGACGTTACAGAACATAACAAAGTCTTCTTTTGATGACTCAGGCCCCATCACAATATACAATATTGTACAATTTCTTGGGGGCCAGCAATTAGTGAACTCACTTTAACAACAGCTATATGCCAAGCACACAGAAGAGGAAGAGAACTGGTGTCTGCCCCAGAGTGCTGCCAGGTTTGCAGTTCTGTCTTCTCTTTCACTCTGAGGAGCACTTTTCTCGCTGAGTTTGCAACCCACTTGGGGGGACTAACCAAAGGGTTTAACARTTGGCCTTAGCTGCCAATTTTGGGGCAGGGGAAACAGCATGAGGAGTAGGTTTTCCCAGAAGATGGGGAGGAACTGGGTGCAGTGGTGCACGCCTGTAGTTCCAGCAACTTGGGAGGCTGAGGCAAGAGGATTGCAAGTTTGAAGCCTGTCTCAAAATACAAATAAAAAGAGCTGGGATGTGGGTCAGTGGTAGAGACCCCTGGGTTCCCCAGTAGAAAGAAAAGAAAAGAAAAGAAAAGAAAAGAAAAGAAAAGAAAAGAAAAGAAAAGAAAAGAAAAGGAAAGAAAGAAAGAAAGAAAGAAAGAAAGAAAGAAAGAAAGGGAAAGGAAAGGAAAGGAAAGGAAAGGAAGGAAGGAAGGAAGGAAGGAAGATAGATGGATGGAAGATGGGAAGGAGGAACAGGAAGGAAAAAAAGCAAAAAAAAAAAAATAGGGGAGAAAGAAAGAACTCCTCTACCTGGCCAAATGGAAAGCACACCAAAGACCAGGACATGCTGTGGTTTGTGTCCCCCAAAAGTTCACGTGCCGTAAATTTGCCTCCAGTGCAGCAGTTTGAGAAGCAGGGCCTTGAGAGGTGATTGGATCATGAGGGTTCTGTCCTCGAGAATGGATTAATCCATTAATTATTACGGGAGTGGCTCTGTTATGAAACAAGCTCTCTCTGGCACACTTGTTGAGGAGATGGGCTGCCAGCAGACAGAGGCTGAGCCAAGAGAGGGCACAGCCCCCAGGCCATGGGGGCAGAAGACTGCTCCACAGAGAGGGCACACAGAGAAGAGCGGAGTGAGAGAGAGGTGAAGAGAAGGAAGAGGAGGGAGAGGGGGGGAAGCTAGGGCAGCAGAAGAATATTTGAGGGTTGCAGGTATAGCTCAGTGGGTAGAGCACTTGCCGAGTGTGCATGAGGTCCTGGGTTCCATCCCAGCACCARTAAATAAATGGAAGAAAGGAAAAAAGAGAATAATACTGGAAATCTTTACACCCTTGCTTTAGTTTTGTGCCCAACAACACCACCTCCATCATGGCCTGAGGGCCTGAGGCCTGTTATTGGGATATCAATTCTCATAAAAGGGAAATGAGGGCCCTGAGACCAAGGGAAAACAATAGTAACCGGAGCACTGTACTGCCAACAAGTCATCTGAGTCTCACAGAGGCCCCACCAGGTGGGCAGGAGAGGACATCTTACAGAAATGGAGGCTCAGAGAGATGAAGGACCTTGTCCAAGCTTTCTCAGCTGGCAAGCAGCAGAGCAGGGATGAGAAGCCAGGCCCCCCTGAGCGTTGACGTTCCACATGCACCACTGGCGCCCAAAGTTTGGGTGGGGACACAGGCAATACAGAGGGGCTGACGTCCTCTGAAAAGCGGGAGGCTACCTCCTCCCAGCCTGACACATCCCCTCCAACAGGCATAACCTAGAGATTTTCTGTGTGCTGAGATGCCACACATTTCTCTGCTGCTCTGACACCAAATGGATTCCCTTTTCCTCAGTCCCTTGAGACCTGGTTCAGTAGGAWGAGGGTGAGCCTCAGAGCATGACTGGCCCAGCTTCTTGGCCCATGCTAGCAGTCAGAGCTGGGTGACCTTGGGCAACTTAACCCTGCAGAGATTCAGTTTCCTCATCTATAAAATGGAGATGGCACCTAMTTCATGGCTCTCTACCTACAAAAAGCAGATGATAATGGCTTTGCCATTGTATTGTGGTGAAAATTCAAGAACGAAAACTGCACAYAGGTGCCAGGCACAGCACCTCTGAGGCCACCAGAAGTACCAGAACACTGTACTGCCAATAAATCATTTGAGTCTCACAGGGGGCCTATGAGACTGCCTGGCCCTCTGTCTGGCCAAACTAGGTTCCTCTGTCTTCCTTTTTCTTAAAACTCAAGTGAGAGCTATTTGGACTCAAACTCAAACACAAATGGAAAAGCTGCTCATGATGAGACTCATAAATTCCTTTCGTGTCCCCCCTTCTGGGGAATCTTAAGGGCCAGCTAGCCACACGTCATGTGGCACCAGGGCATCCTCATGACATATAGCTTGAGAATCTCTAATGGAGCAACACCCCAGGGAACCACAGACCAAGAAACCACAGYCTGGCAAGTCCTTCTCAAATGGCAGACTTGCGATCAATAAATGTCTGTTGATTTGGAAATGTCAGAAGGGCAACTATAACAAGGCTATGTTTTGGTGTGTGTATGTATTCTGCTGGGGAAACGGTTCGTGTTTATCTCTCCTCCTCCCAGCCTCCTAGGGTTTACGATGTGGCCTCCTTTTAATGATTAACAGTCCAGAGAGCTGAGATGAGTTCTGGATTGAGAGGCAAAGTCTCTTCTGAGGCCACGTGACCCAAGATGGAAACACTGACGGAGACTGACAGGGTTTGGGTAGAATCCTGGAAAGAAGAGTAAAAACTGCTCTTTTACCTCTTGCTGCCACAGTAAGCATCTTGAATGAAGTTGGAACTGTGCTTATTAATGGAATAATTAGTCAGGTGCATGCAAATATCATCCTGGGAAAAGAGAACATAAGATGTGGGGTCAGGCTGACATGAAGGCCTCCTGCATTCTCTCTGTGCCCTCCCATGGCCCCTGGGGATTAACTGCATGGAAAAGAAAGGGAAGTCTTAAGATGTACTTAAACTGGCAAAATTAAGGCAATAAAAAGGGGAATCTTAGAGCCTGGACAACTTAACCCTGTATAAGCTGGAGTATAAGAAACTCCAGCTCCTCCTGAGAGTGAGCGCTGCCTTGCCTGAGGGAAACTTCAGGAGTCCTAGGGGACTTAGAGTCGGGGGATGGCAGGATAGCTCACTCCTGAGCACTGTGGACCTGGTGTTGGAGTCAGGCAGACTTGGCCACAAGTTCCAGACTCACCTCTTGCTAGCTGTGTGACCTTGGACAAGTCCCTTCTACTCTCTGGGTTTTAATCTCCCTCTCTGTAAAAGGGAATAATAACTCCTATGTCTGAGGGTTCCCGGGAGGGCTCAGACTAAAGAATATATGTAACCTGGCACATAGGTAGTGCTCAACAAATGACAGCCAGATCCATGATGTCTCGAGGAAGGGTATTAAGCAGGACTTTTTATCATGCTAAGGAGGAGGGGGAGGCATCATGTCCCCTCAGCTCACCAGGTTGTCTGTGCAGGGGTAAGAGTAAGAAGTGGTAGCAAAGCGGACCAGTCCTTCTTTGTACACAAAAATCCTGAGAGGGTCACATGATGTCACCAGCACATAAATCCGTAGGTCAAACTTGAACCCATCAATAATAAAGGGCTGGGAGGAGAAGAGAGAAGTCAAACAAGCAGCAGAGGAGAAGCTCATACAAAAATCGCCAGCCCCCATCTTGTTTTCATGGATGGAATCAGTCCAACACTGTCTAGTGTTGCCAAGTGAAGGCTTGGCCAGGCCTGGGGAGCAGGATAAGGAGAACTTGGGTTCTGTGACTTGACTTGTGACCTTGAAGAGGTCACCAAACCACACTGTGCCTTGATTTCCTGATCTCTTCATTGGCACAAACAACTACCACCAAGAGATATCTTGGCAACTAAATAAAGTAACAGTAAAAGTCCTTTGATGAAAGGACATATGGTCCTCATCCAGGGCTGCGTTATACTTGTGGTTCTGTAAGAGATTKCCTGCAATCAGTAATCCTGGTCATTTTGCCTTGGGTGGGAGGTGCAGTGCTTCTCCTTCTTCTCACACTTCTAGAAGGTTCCCTCCCTGCAGCAGTGACCTGTGGCACTCAGGGAGGGAATCTGTTTACCATGAATCCCTCCAGGATGATTCTCTTCTCCCAAATAAGGTAGGGTATCCACAAACTAAGGTGTTCTCCTAGCTCTCATCTATTTGAGCAAAGGGGCTAGCCTGGTGAGGTCAGACCAACAGGCAAGTGTACATGGCAGCACCTCTGCTCAGGAAATTTGGTCTGACAAAGGCCAAGGCAGAAGACAGTCTCAGCTGCATCCCTACTTCCACCCCTCATTGACTCATTTCACATTGTATCCAGTGCAGCTAGATCCCGAGGCTGCTATGGGCAATAAATAAATAATCACARTAAAGAAGTACCTTTGAAATATAGAGCTGACAGATCATATCCTCCTCTGGTTTGATTTCTTTCACAGTGCGGGTGATGAATATACCTCTCCCTTGGCAACCCGAGTCCGGCTTACAAATGTATGTCTTATTTTTTCTTGACCTGCTATAGGTCTGCAAATCTCCCCAGCTACCAGACAGGGAAGGAACAAGATACACCATTAGCTGGAGAGCAATGAAAAGGAAGACCAGTTCCATATGAAAAAACAAACCAACAAAAAAAAAAAACAGAAGAGTAAAGGTATCTGAAGTACAAAGTCCTGGCATTGATAGACAGAGGCCCAGAGGCCAGCAACGAGAGAGATAATAGAACTGATGAAGTGGAGAGTGTGTATGGGCTTCGGAGGGAATTCAGGCCTAGATTCAAGCCCAAGCAACACCACCTACCAGCTGTGTACCCTGTGCAAGGACATGACCTCTCGGAGTCTACATTTCATCATCTAGGAAATGTGGATAATGAAACCCATCTCATGCAGTGGTTAGTTAAGATGACATAATGCAGCAAAGTGATGATCTGTGCTACCCACCCCACRAAGGTGGCCATGACCCAGGCAGTTTGGCATTCTGGATTTACAGATAGGAGATTTGGAGTTCTTGGTCTGGCTCAAGCCCTGACAAGTGATGTGACATTGAATCAATAGGTCTTTTACCCTCTCTGGGCTTCAGTGTTTCATCTGTGATGCCGCCACCCCAGCCGGAGGATGGGAGGGCAAATAAAACCTTTAAATATGCTTTTAAGACAGTTTATGCAGAAGAAAGAAACTAAATTAATGGATTATATATATCAGTCTTGCTATATTTCTTGTTTTGCATCTTAACTCAAAAGAACCTTGTGGATTCTTGGGAAAATCACTTAGCCACAATGTTCCTCAGTGGCCATGAAGTCTGGAGGCTCCTGTTAACTGGACAGTGCACACATTTCCTCCTAAGTTGCTGCTTAGCCTTGGAAATTGTTCCAGACTAAGGAAAGGCTGGGAGCTCCTGGTTTAAGGAAGTCTTGGGAGGAGAGGGGAGAGTGGGATTCCTCTTCTGCCCTTGCCATGTGAGTRTAAAAACAGACGGTGGCCTGTCACACTACCCCTGCCTTGTCTCAACCACCAGATTATACCCCTGCTTGTGCTCATGCCATCTCAAGTTTCTCCAGAGCATTTTGCCTATCAGTAATGGAGGTCCAGCTTTGAAATGGATAAAATGAGAGCAAAAAGGGAAAGGGCTGCCCGCCCAGCMGGGTACTACATGAGACAGAGGCCAGGCAGTCCTCCCTGCTCCTACCCTGGGTGCTAATCAACCACAACCCCACTATCTCCAGAGGAGCTCCTGGTCCTAAAAAATTCAGAAACAGAACAGTTAAATGGTTGGAAGGAGTTCAAGATCAACATCCTTCAGGGTCAGAACAAACTCTCATCCAACTACAGGTACAGGCTCCAAGGCACCGGCCCTTAATTGTCATCTCATTTTATAGGCAGAGCCCTGTGTGTTCTCAACCTTGGACACACCCTTTATCCTTTCTCTTCCTGGACAGTATATAGAGAGATGGGAGATCTTATGGGAAGGGAAAGTAGCAACCAGGGAATCAGGGCAGAAGGGAAATGTAAATAGGGGTGGGGAAGAGAAGGAAATCTGGGCTCACTTACTCAGCAGGAAGACACCAGGTCCTAGGGAAAAAGTGGAAATCTTTAGGGAACATCTTTAACATGCGGCTCATATTCCTGGCCAGCAAGTCCTTGCGGCAGATTTCACTCATCCCAGGGAAGTGATTGATCTTCTATGAGGGAAGCAGTAATTCATGATCAATGGGGGGACATGGGAGCACTTTGAGATCCCCTCAAGAGTCAGTGATTAAAAATAGGGGCCCTGGATGGGGATATAGCTCAGTTGGTAGAGTGCCTGCTTCTCGAATGCACAAGGCCCTGGGTTCAATCCCCAGCACCACAAAAAGGGGGTTGGGGGGGGGAGTTCTGGGCAGATGTCACACTTAAATTGAGGAAAATACCTGGTAGCTCTTCATGTCCATCACCCTCTCCAGTGATACCGAGTAGTCTGTCCAGTACAGAGTCCAGTCATCGTTGTCACCTCCCTCTCGAAGGCCATACTGTTGGGCCACCCTACGCACTGCAATGGAATTGAAGAAAGAAATGTCCTGTTCGCCCAGGAAGCAAAGAAGGAGCAAAGGATGGGGAGGTTCCTTTTCTAGGTAGTTCCAGACCCAAGTACTGGAACAAGAGACCCAGCTCCTTAGGACTGTAAGCCATCTTTCCCTGTCTGGATGTACCACTACCAAGAAAGGAACATGGAGAGTTAGAAGCTGTTGAAGAACACAGCCAGTATGCAGTGATTGCCACAGAAGGTTATCTGGGGTGAATGTTTGACCCGCCTTGGCTTCCCCTTGCCAGGAAGCAAGCCTCTGGCTTTCTCCTAAACACCAAGCCCTGAATGTTCAGAGAATACAAACTGATCCTTAACACTAAGCAGAGCTAAGCTTAACTAGTGAGGTAAATTGGCAGGAAAAAAAATTTAGACAATGTATTTCAAAACCATATATACCACTATCACATCTTTCTTTCCTGCCTCTGTTAGTATTAATAGCTAAAAGCTGATTTCAACACAGGCCAGATGCCTTCCTTCCTAGGCCTAAGAAGGAAGGAGGACCTGCAGTAACCAGGAGAGGACAAGAGCAGCCCAGGACATTAGAATTTGAACTCAAACACAAAGGCAACAACACTGTGCTCTGTAGTACAAAGCAAGTCTGTAGACCAGGGTTAGCCTCAGACTGCTGGATTCTGACATATGTTCTAAAACAGGGCCATCAACTGCAGCAACAACTGCCTCTTCTACAATGAGATCCTCCGTCACAATATATAAATATATATATATATATATATATCTATATATATATATTTGCACCAGGGATTGAACTCAGGGGCTCAGGGGCACTTGACCACTGAGCCACATCTCCAGCCCTATTTTGTAGACAGGGTCTCACTGAGTTGTTTAGTGCCTTGATTTTCCTGAGGCTGGCTTTGAACTTGTGATCCTCCTGCCTCAGCCTCCTGAGCCAATGGGAATACAGGCGTGCACCACAGCATCCAGCCCCAGTCACTGTAAGCATTACAGATAGCTGAAGGACATGCCACTGGGATCAAAACCCATGATTCTTGGAATGAGATTCCCAACTCTCTCAAATAGTCGGTGGAGCCAGAGGAACCAAGGAAGAGGTTTGAAGACACCCCTTTTTCTCCTCAAGAATTCTCTCAACATCAAGAGTGACTCTTCCCAATGACACAGGGGGAAGTGGTAGGTCCTTGTCCCCGATCCGTTGCATTGAAATGCTCACCGCTCTCATACCGGCAGCTGGATAGATTAATCACCAATCATCTGGAAAAAAGAAAAAGGAAAGCACAAGACAGAGACAGACTGCACCCAGAAACATCCTGTCCCAGGTGGAGCTGCATGAAGCCTAAGCTATCACACTAAGCCTGATTCAACCATTCCCATCACTGAGGACATGAATGGGTACAGACTGGCAGAAAGCATGGAATCAGTACTGTTACCCTGTCCATGGGGTATAGAGTCTATATTGCAATTATAGCTAATTTAGCATACAGCTTCATATTAACATCATTTTCTTAGTCCTTTTACTCCAGTAGTCCATCGGGAACAGGAATTTAAAATATTTTTGGCCAAAATACTTGCTTCTCTCTTCTTCTGCACAGTAAGGGAAGCTGTCAGTGAGAAAGCAGACAAGCTTTCAGACACTAATCAGTCTGAATGGAGCAAGACCTGGCAAAATATTAAACAAGAACTGGAACCCACAAGGTAAAGTCAGATCCTAATACAATAGTATGGTTCTATATTTAAAGTGTATTAAATCCTCAGAACAAATACRCACTTTTAAAAAATACCTTTTTTTAATTTTTATTTTATGTGGGGCTGAGGATCAAAGCTCACATGTGCAAGGCAAGCATTCTACCACTGAGCCACAACCCCAGCCCTAACTAAGCCCTTTCTTATGCAAGGAAATTCTCTCTCTTCACTCATTTTTTGAAAGGCACTCTAAACATAAATAGAATGAAAATTAGGACAAGGTGCAGTTTTACACATGATTATTTGATTCTATAAAACAGACCATCAAAAGAGCCTTCTTTTTATGCGAACTGAAAAGCAGAGTGGGTTTGACAGCTTTAGCCCACAATTTTCCTTTACTCTATCAAGCCTCCTTCCCTCCAGGTCCTTCCTGTTCTTACCAACATGGAGCCCCATTCCCAATTTCCAATCCTAACCTCTTTTTCTTCCTCTTCTTCTTGCTTTGCTGACAGGCCTCCTGAAACCCCTTTTGTGTGTTCTCTCTCACAAAAGCCAGGGTGATGATTTCTTTTAGATCTTCTATGGAACAATTCTCCCTCTCTTTGGAGTCTGCTCTTTTTTTACCTTCAGAAGTCAGGCACTKTGGCATCTTCCTGACTTGGAAGGAGGCTCTGGGGAAATACCAGCTACCCCTGGAGAAAGAGCAGAAGGAATGGTACTTACACAGACCCACCTGCAGGGGGACCCCCTCACCTGCGCATGTGGGTAGTGAACTGGAGTTCCAAGACAAGGCAACAGGTTGTATAAAATGCCAACCCACCTCCCCAGTTAGTGCAAGCTCTGGGAAGGAGCCGATTTCACCTTTTGCCATTGACTATGTCCTTGCGGACTTAACCCAGCCAACCCTGGCCTTGGTTTTTGCCTCCTAGGGATTTCCAGAGCAGGCTGAGATGCTGTGCATGACACTACTTGGTAAACAATCTTATTATTAAGGTGAGTAAGTGTCTGGAGACAGCTTCAGAACCAAGCCTGAAGCCTTCCTAGCTGAGGGAGCTTGTCCCCTAGGGTGCAGTGGAGGTGCATTTAAGCCTTTTAACTCTTTCAGTATTACATCCAACTCCCCACATAGTAATCTTCAGGCCTGAAAATAAATGCARTGATCATTCATGGAGTACAGTGCTGATTTGTAGCAGACTGTAAGATTCAAGTCCAGGGTCAAATGCAGACCTTCAAGTATGCCCACCACAGAAAAGTCTATAACATCTGCCTTACAATCCACTCCAAATTAAAAATAACACCAAATCAAAAAACACATACAAGGAAGTACAGCAAAGTTCTCATCCTCTTGATCCCCATGAGACATCTTCGATGTTTGCTTGAATTTTTAAATATCAAAAWTTTAAAAGTGAACTTTAATGTTCCTGCTTCAATACTCTTTAGGAATGTGCTTAGTTCACTTTTGGGTAACCCAGATATGCCAGGCCCAATTAATGCAAATTCTCTTACATCCAAGGCTCCTGTGGCCATAAGCCTCCTTTTCTAGTGCTCTCCCTTCCTCTCTTTACCTGCTAAAATCCTACCAAGCTCCTCACCATTTTAGTTCCTCTCCTTTGATACCCATAGTTTTTTTGCTATTTACTATCTTTTCCTCTTACACACTCTTATTATTATTGAAAATACATTTCAGGATACTTTAAAAATGGGGAAKGGTAGGCTGGGATGTAGTTCAGTAGTAGAGGGCTTGCTTAGCATGCTGAAGGCCCTGGGTTCACTGCAAACAAACTTCTTAGAAATGGGGCAGAGCAGCTTTGACTCATCTGTGCCTTCTTTTATTCTTAATTTTCAAGCACAATTATTGTAGTCAATTTTGTATCTGCTTTTTGCTCACATAAAATCATACTGTAAACATCCTTTAAGTGGTGGCAAAGTTTGCAGGTTCCTAGTTTTTAATGGCTGTGCAATATTCCACAGAAGGAATGTGCCCATATTTAACTAACCATTGTCTTGTTGTTGGAAATGTTAAGTTGCTTCCAATTTTTAATCTTATGAAAATAACTCTAAAATACACATTTTCAAAATGGGCTTGGTGGTACGAATCTGTAGTCCCAACTATTGGGGATAATAAGGGAGGAGGATTGCTTGAGCTCAGGAGTTTAAGACCAGCCTGGGCAAAATAGTAAGATGCCAGAGGAAAAATAATACCAACAACCCCCTCATACTTTTAGAGAGGGTCTTTTACTTTTTTGGGATTATTTTCTTAAATTAATAACTGGAGATTATAGTCCTAATTATAGGAAAATTGGGTAGCTTTTAGTATACATATTTTTTTTCTTTTTTACCTTGTTGTTTCCCAGGGGGGTTTCAACAATTTTTACTAACTACTACTAGCAACGTGCAATTATAGCAGGCTCACCAGAGGTACACAATCTCTCAGGAATCACCTCCCCTCTTCATTTAAACTTGCTAATTCTAGCCAACTCTTATACCCTACAGCCRTGTCTTAACATTATACCCTTCTACCTCTCTCTGCCCTTTTCCCAAAGCTAATTTGGTGTCAGGGTGGGAGCTCTCACTAGGAAGGCTATCCTTGAATAATTTAACAATAAACCCTAATGTGGGATAGTTCTTTGGGCTTTGCAAACAATTTTCATATGCACACTCTCATTGAATGCTTATAATCACCCCTGGGAGAAAGACAGGCAGAATTATTACATGGACYAAAGATTGCCACTTATCCTCTGTCTCTCATTATCATTTGTACTCAAGTCCCTTTTTGGTGACAGCGGAGCAAGAGGAGAAAGAGTTGTCCATGCAACTGACAGATAAAACCTGAGCTTTGTAAGTCAGTTTTTCTCATTGACAGGGCATATTCTTGGCAAAGTTCAAGAGAACTAAGGAACTTGAATCTTGACCTTGGGCTGCTCCCTTCCTTGCAGGTAAACGGCCAGCTCCACTCCCCTAGCCTTCCACAACGGCTCCTGTTTACCAAGCCCTCAAGGAGGAGTGGCTCGTTTACCTAAAGGTTAATGTTAACTTGGGGAGAAACTGACTCTGAATTTGACCTCTGGAGTCAGAAGTTATCTTTGCCCTTTTTCAAATCCTTACCCAAGTGGTCAGAACAAATCATGGCTGCTTATATGTGTCTGCCTCAAAGAGACTAACCAACCAAACAAAAAGGTCAAATGGCTTGTCCTTTCKTGAGAAGGGCTCAGGCCCATAGTGCAAGGAGCTAAGCCCATGAACTTTAGGAGGAATGGGTTCACCATGGCATTCTTGCCTACATTCCCCTGTATTCTAGGCTGCCTATGACACAAGTACCTGGGTGGCACCAGAGACAGGTGGGAGAYGGCAGACAATAGTCCTTGCCACACGTGATTATTTTTTGCTTTGTCTTCCTCTCTCCCAACCTCCCTATTTAATTTATAAGGCAGAAACCTGCTGGCTTCTCTCTAAAGGCTCCTGAAAGAGAATATCTCATTCAAAGGTTGCCTGCTGGAGACTTCCATCCTGAACTCAGCCTGTAGATGCATTCACTTGGCCCAGTAATGTGTTGTTATTGCTATAGTTGATAGATGTAGTTGCCAAGCTGTGCCTGCAATCCTAGTGATGCTGGAAGCTGAAGCAGAGGGTTACAAGTTTGAGGCCAGCCTAAGCAACTCAGTGAGACCCTGTCTCAAAAAAAAAAAAAAAAAAAGTGCTTGGGCTATATAGCTCAGTGGTAGGGTGTCCCTGAGTGCCCCTGGGTTCAATCCCCAACACCACAAAATAAAAATTAAAAATTAAATAAATCCTAGCTCTATCATTTCCCAACTGCCTAACTTTTAGGCGGTTTACTTATCCTCCTTCTGCAGTTACTTAACCTCATCTGTAAAATGGCTTACCCCAACTATGGAAAATAAACAAGTTAACTCATTTGATTTAATACAATATAAAGTTCCTAGAACAGTGCCTGGCTCATAGTTGGTACTCATGAAATGCTGTCTGTCAYTATCAGCTGTATGACCCTGGACTTCTGATGGCAGACTGAGACACAGAGAGGAAGGTAAGGGGCATATCTGGGACTTAGAACACATGTCTGTCTGACCCCACAGCCTCTCTCTCCTCTACACTCTGCTGTTTTTTCTTCTCCTCCGATCACCCATAAATGGTGTAATTATAAAGTAATTGATTTCCTAGCTGCAGAAAGGAAATCAGAAACTGCACCCAGATGCAGCCTTGATGACGTTAGTTCCTTAAAATTAATTATTTCATGGGCTGGGGATGTGGCTCAAGCGGTAGCGCGCTTGCGTGGCATGCGTGCGGCCCGGGTTCGATCCTCAGCACCACATACCAACAAAGATGTTGTGTCCGCCGAGAACTAAAAATAATAAATATTAAAAAATTCTCTCTCTCTCTCCCTCTCTCCTCTCTCACTCTATCTTTTAAAAAAAATTAATTATTTCAGTCCGGTGGTAGAGCTTTGCAGTAGAACACTTATCTAATGTGCCTGAGTTCAATCCCCAGCATTACCAAAAATAAATGAATAAATAAAGTGTCCCCACATCCCTTAAAGCCAACTGCTCCTAAATTTCCAATGAGAGGTTCATACCTCCCTGGATTCTTTATAACCTGGGAATAGCTCTGTTGTTTCTGCTTTGTATTCGTTTTCACTCTTTCCCTTCTTTTCACCAATATGCACATTATACCAGGACTCTTATTAGAGGTGTAATTAGAACAATTTTCAGATATTATGGAATTCCTGAATATTAGCTTTTGGAGGGACTTTGAAGAATGTCTATTTACTTTTTAGAGGAGGTTTTGAAATTTCTCCCACCACCCCCCCCCCCAGTACTGCCACTGGTCTGGACTCTAGGAAAGGGTTGTGCATAGAGCTCGAGGGCAAGTCATTGGAGCCAAGACCAAAACCTCTGCTTCCTGCCCTGCCTAATTATCTTGCATTGTGCCAGAACACTTCTGGGTATGATGGCACATTCCTGTAATTCCAGTGGTTCAGGAGGCTGAGGCAGGAGGACTGTGAGCGCAAAGCCAGCCTTAGCAACTTAATGAGATCCTAAGCAATTTAGCCAGAACCTGTCTCAAAAAAAATAAGGAGGGCCAGGGACTGGGGATGTGGCTCAGTGGTTAAGCAACCCTGGGTTTAATCCCTGGTTTAAAAAAAAATTGCGCAAGGACAGCAGGCAAAGTGGACTAAGTAGTTTGGAGAGTTTGAAAAAGAAGACTAAGAGCTTTGCTACCAATGCAACAAACAAAACACAGTAAATAGCATGTTCAGTTGTTCTCTTTTGTTTTACTTTCTTTCCCCACTGTGTCCCTTTGGTACTGGGAATTGAACCCTAGGGGTGCTCTACCCCTAGCCTATATCAACCATCTCTTCTTATTTTTTATTTTGTGGCAGGGTCTTGCTAAATTCCCCAGGGTGGCCCAATTTTTCTTAATGATGCAAGAGACATTCAGTTCACCTTTCCAAATAGGATAGTTAAGATGGTGAAAAAAYACTGTTGTTTCCTTCCATCTAAGTATGGATTTAATCTTGAGATCTTCCAAACCAGAGGCTGTCAACTTCATTCCTAGTTAGGGAGCATGAAAATACTCTTTATTGGCCACCAGGGGGAGGAATTGAGCACTGGGACGGCTGGAGGCAAACTCGCTATAGATTATTTGGAAAAAACTTGGAATCCA